GCCAATCTGCAGCCCTTTCAAAAGGGCCGGGGGCAGGAAGACAAGGGGGGGAGCGGCCGGGAATGAGAGCGTCCCTCCACTCCTCCAAAGAGGCAGATCAGTGGGGAGCAGCTGCAGCTGTCCATCCCCCTGAGAAGGCTGCCAGCGGTGAGTCTATCCCCACGCTGGAGAACCAAACTTTGAACGGGGAGAAGTGACCCAGGGCAGCACCGTGGTCCCCGTGAGTGGAGGGTTTAGGGTCTCAGCCCCCTCCACTGGCAAGGGACTAGCGTCCCTGTCTTAGGGCCCTGGGTCAGGGCTCGGAGAGAGGGAGGGCCAGAGCCCCCTCCCCGATCCCCAGCAAGTATGCGAGTCAGATTAGGATTGCGCCTAGTTATACATAGTAATTGGAGCGGCCTCGTGGGGAGAACCCCAGATGTGGGACAGCTTCCCACCTGAACTTGGGGTGGGTCACGGTAAAAGGGTAACACGTGGTGGAGAATGTGGATATCATCCTAGCCCCGTTTATGGGGCCGACAAGAAAAGGGGGGGGCCATAGTAGAGCCCGCCCCGAATAATAAATTGCTGATTCCCTAAGCAGAAATGGAGATGAACAAAGTACTTGAATGACTGGTGGAGAACCAGAAACAATTACAGCAGCAACAGACACAGGCGCTGCAACAAATCCTGGCTAAGTTCCAGGAGCAACAAGGCCAGATGGTCAAGGAGCTGCGAGAAGCCCTGACGGGGACAGGTGTCACGGGTAGTGGGTCCTCCTTACTGGGAAGTGAGGAAGGTACAGTGGGCATACAACTACCGATACGACTGACCAGTCTTGGACCCGAGGACGACCCCGAGGCCTTCCTCGTCACCTTTGAACGGGTCGGCCGCAAAATGGCCGCAGGACCATTGGGCGACACTCTTGGCCCCTTACCTGTCGGGTCTGGCTCAGCTGGCGTACCGGGGGATGTCGGCGTGAGATGCGCTATGTTATTACAAAGTAAAAGAAGCGATCCTGGATCAGCTCGGAGTCTCCCCCGAGACACACCGCCAGAGGTTGTTGGAATCCAGATACAACCCGGGAGAACGTCCCAGGGCGGTGGCCCAACAAGTCAAAGAGGCCGGGATGAGGTGGCTGGAGCTGGAGAACAAGTCCGGAGTGCAGGTGGCAGAGACCATAATCCTGGAGCAGTATGTAAAGATCCTTCCCTCGGAGGGACAGCAGTGGGTACGGAGGCATCTACCTGAGACCCTTGAAGAAGCGGTGACCCTGATGGAGCACTTCCTTGTGGCCAAAGGGGTGGAAGCACCCAGACCTAGAAACACGCCGAAGGACAACCCTGCTGGGGGGCTCCTTCCACCCAGGACCGGGCCAAAGTCACAGATGGGGTTTGGACATAGGACCTCACTAAGGCAGACGCCTGAAAGGAGGCTAGCGCCCCGATGGAGCCGTCCAGAGAGTCCGACACCCGGTACAGAGGGACAAAATCAAGGATCCGAGCGGAACCCGAAGCCCGAGACAGGAGCCAAAGGAGCCTGTTATCAGTGCGGCCAGGAAGGGCACTTCAAGAAAGACTGTCCCCTCATGGACTGCACCTTCGGCCAAGGGCCAACTTGGAAGGTAAAGGGGGGCAAATGGGACCGTGCACAACTGATACATATGATAAGAGTGGATGGCCACAGGGTGGAGGCGGTGCTAGATTCGGGGTGCGGACAAACAAAGGTAAGGGCAGGCATCCTTAGTCCCAAGAAGCCCCGGGGCCCGAGGGTATATATGCGATGTGTACATGGCGACATCCACCCTTACACTACAACTAAAGTAGAGATTTACGATGGGTGTGAACAAGGGACATGTGAAGTGGCGGTAGCACCCCAGCTGGCATACCCCGCGCTATTAGGGCGGGATTGGCTGGGGCTGGGCCACCTATTAAGTAGCTGGGGACAGGAGCAAATGGGCCTAGAGAGCGGAGAGCAAGAGGACCGGACCCTCGTGGCCCATGGCGAGGAGGTGAGGGACCCACCATCCGGAGCTGAACCCCAGGAAGAAGCCCGACCAACCTCACCCCACCTGGAACTCGACAAGGGTGATTTCGTCACGCTACAAAGGGAGGACCCTACGCTACAAAACGCCTGGACACAGGTAGGGGATGCAGAAGAAGGGGGGAGGCAAAGGGCCCAAGGCCCCCGGTTTGAAGTACGGGCGAGGAGGTGAGGGACCCACCATCCGGAGCTGAACCCCAGGAAGAAGCCCGACCAACCTCACCCCACCTGGAACTCGACAAGGGTGATTTCGTCACGCTACAAAGGGAGGACCCTACGCTACAAAACGCCTGGACACAGGTAGGGGATGCAGAAGAAGGGGGGAGGCAAAGGGCCCAAGGCCCCCGGTTTGAAGTACGGCGAGACCGCCTATTCCGTGTCACGCCCGGGGAGGGAGGAGCGGAAGAGAGGCACCAGTTGCTCGTGCCCAGACCCTATCGCTGGAAAGTATTGGAATTAGCCCATGACCACGCCTGGGCTGGCCACTTAGGGACTGAGAAGACACAACAATGTGTCTTATAACGATTTTATTGGCCCGGGGTGTATAAGGACGTGAAAGATTTTTGCACTTCCTGCCCGCAATGCCAACAGACGTCCACAACAAGGGTACCCCCCGTGCCTCTCATCCCCCTCCCGATCGTGGGGACTCCATTCAAACGTATCACGTTGGACTTAGTGGGACCCCTGGAGAAATCAAGTAGGGGGCATTTATACATCTTGGTCATCATAGACTATGCAACACGGTATCCCGAGGCCATACCTCTGAGGAAGGCTAACGTGGCGGTAATAGCAGAGGAACTAGTGAAATTATTCTCCCGGGTGGGGTTACCCAAGGAATTATTGACAGATCAAGGGACGAATTTAACATCTAAAGTAATGACTGAGTTATGCAGGATCCTGCAGGTGCGGAGGCTCCGGACGTCCGTCTACCATCCCCAAACGGATGGACTCGTGGAGCGTTTTAATCGAACTTTGAAGGGGATGCTACGCAAGTTCATCATGGACGACCCCCAGGATTGGGGATTCGGGAGGTGCCCCAGGCGTCGCCCGGCTTTTCAACTTTCAAACTGCTGTACGGGCGACGTCTCAGGGGGATCCTAGACCTGGTAAAGGAGGGCTGGGAGGAACAGGTGATTCCGGTCCTCGGAGTGACCCAATATGTAGAGAAGCTATGGAAAAACCTCTGTTGTCTAGCGGAGTGGGCCAACGAGAACCTCTAGAAAGCCCAAGAGGGGCAACGGACTCACTACAACCAAAAGGCCAAGGTAAGGACCTTCGCACCAGGGGACCCAGTCCTACTGTTGCTCCCGTCGGGGGACTCGAAACTATTAGCCCGGTGGCAGGGACCCTTTAGGGTGGTGAGACAAGTGGGACCATAGAGAGACCCAAATTTATCATATAAACCTACTAAAAAGATGGAAACCTAGGGAGGCCCTCCTGATTGACCCATGACCAACTGATATCGAGTTCGGGCCCTGGGGAGACCCCGAGGGTAGCGTAGAGCAAGCCCAGGTCGGGGAAGAACTCTCGACGATTCAACAAGAACAGGTGAGGCAGGTGCTGGCCTGGGCAGACTCAGGAGATCCGTCACGAGATATTAACCGAACCGGGTAAGATAGTACGGGACCACCTACGGCCGGTGCCTCGTAAGCTGTGGGACACAGTGAGAAAAGAACTACAGGCGATGTTGGAGTGGGGAGTGATCCAGGAATCCCGCAGTGAGTGGCAAAGCTCGATAGTATTGGTGCCAAAACCTGATGGGTCCACCAGATTCTGTATAGACCACCAGATTCTGTATAGAAGGTAAACGCCATCTCCCGATTTGACGCGTATCTGATGCCTGAACCGGGTGGGGAGAGCCCAATATCTGTCGACCATAGACCTCACAAAGGGGTATTGGCAAATCCCCCTGTCCCGTGAGGTTCAGAGCAAGACAGCCTTTGCCACCCCATTTGGGCTATATCATTTTGTGAACATGCCCTTTGGCCTGCATGGGGCGGCTGCCACCTTCCAGAGACTGATGGATCACATCCTACGGGACCATCAGGAGTATGCGGCAGCATATATAGATTATATTGTGATTTTTAGCAGGTCCTGGGAACAACATCTGGAAGACATCGCAGCCGTACTGGGGGCGCCTTTGCCACCCCATTTGGGCTATATCATTTTGTGAACATGCCCTTTGGCCTGCATGGGGCGGCTGCCACCTTCCAGAGACTGATGGATCACATCCTACGGGACCATCAGGAGTATGCGGCAGCATATATAGATTATATTGTGATTTTTAGCAGGTCCTGGGAACAACATCTGGAAGACATCGCAGCCGTACTGGGGGCGCTTCAACGGGCGAATTTGACAGCCAACCTGAAGAAATACTTCTTCAGGAAGGAGGAGGTTTCCTACCTAGGATACACAGTGGGACCGGGACAGCTTAAACCCTTGTTCAGTAAGATTCAGGCAGTACGCGACTACCCAACCCCGGCCATGAAGAAGCAAGTCTGCCAGTTTTTAGGACTCGCCGGCTATTACTGGAGGTTTGTAGCCAACTTCTCATCAATAGCAGCACCCTGACAGATCTCATGGGTAAAGGGCAACCCCAGCAGGTAAAATGGACGGGGCAATGCAGCGCTGCCTTTAGAAGGCTGAAATATGAGCTCACCCACGCCCTGGTACTCATACAACCCGACTTTAACAAACCTTTCATCCTACAGACAGACGCATCTGATTTAGGGCTAGGGACGGTATTAGCCCAGGAGGAGGAGGGGGCAGAGTATCCAGTCCTGTATTTAAGCCGTAAGCTGTTTCCCCGAGAGAAGGGATACGCTACCATTGAAAAGGAAGCCCTAGCCCTCAAGTGGGCCATTGACTCTTTGAGATAATTCCTCCTAGGTGACAAATTCATCCTGGTGACAGACCACGCACCCCTCCAGTGGATCCAGAGCATAAAGGACACAAACCCACGTATATTAAGTTTACAACCATTCAAATTTGAAGTAAAACTGCAAATGCAAACGCGGATTGTCTGTCGCGGATACCAGAACGCGAAACCAGAAAGGACGCAGAAAGGGGTGAGGATTTAAGAGGGGAGGTGTGTGACGGGGCAGACGGCCCAGCCGTGCTGCCCCGCACTGAGATAAATGCGGGATGGGCGACGGGGCAGACAGGTGGGATGACAGGGGGGAGCAGGGGCGCTGTGGAGAACGCTGGGGCCGTGCCGCTCGCGGTTATGGCAACTGCGGCCGGAGATCGGCGGCCCGGGCAGACGCACCACGATGACGTCTCTCGTGACGTCATCCGGGAGCGCCCGGGAAATGGGACGGCGCGCGAGGGGGCGTGGCCAGCCGGAGAGGC